AATTAAATTGTAGGATTTTAGTTTAATTAATGTGTTATCGTCTACTTACATAGCACTAAGAAGAACTTGAGTATGTAGCCCCAAATTATTTTGTATATTTATATGTTTCAGAGTCAAAAGTCACTTTCTTTAGAAAAAAAACCCAATGTCTATCCCGTTTTTCTTATTCATTAGAGGGCAGTAAGCTTTCTCATTGTTCGCTTCATGTATCAGTAAGCAGAATAATAGGTAAAATCTTTAATAAAAGCGTAATGCTAGAAACTCTTATATGTTTGAAATCATGAGCTATTAAAGGCAAACTATGCACAAGACATTCATCAGATTAGGCTATTAGGCTTTAAGGTGGAAATAAAATTTTCTTTTCCCCTTTGGAAGATTTAGCAGCCGCATGAATAAATATAACGAAAGCACTCTGGAGCGAAAGTGGATATCTTAGAAGACGGATTTTAAAGTCATGAAAGATACTCCGGCAGGTAGTTGACGTAAAATAATACATAGAATGGCGATAATATAGGAATCTGGGGTCAACCAAGAGCCGATAAAATGAAAAAAATTATAAAGGTGACACACGGTTACAATATATATAACCAGAATCCTAAGCTTTGTGTGCACACAGATAACATACACTGAGAAACTCTAAGCGCATCACTATCGCAGGATCACACGCTTGTATATTTGTATAAGAAAGGGGTTGTGGCCACATCCACTCCATTTTTAAAATCAGTTGCAATAATCTGCGGGCAGGTAGGGTAAATTTGGAGTAATAAGAGTTTTAGTCATCCTAGCTCGCTTAAATGGATTAACAGCTGATAATAAGTTATCCCACAATGAAATGAGTAGACCTCACGAGGCAACGAAATTTTACTTGGTCTTGTGTCACGGATATATTCTCATCCAGTGCATGCTGTTCTTTTACTTTGCATAGGTCTGATCAGCGCCTCCAGCGTCGTGCCAACAGGTTGAACGTTTAAACTATACTAACAGGTTCCCAGTCATGCTGAAGGCGCAAACGAAGCCTAAGAAATGTCAATTTGTGAATCTTTTCCTCTCCCCAACATTAATTAGATTAGTTAATTGAAGATTATCCTTGGCGTTGTTAGCTATATTTCTATCGGATACATCAAAAGTAGCGGTTTCAACTGTAGTTGGTTTATAAAACTGCTACGACTAATTATTATTTATTTACTGAATAAACTCTAATAATTGTGCTTATGAGCATATACAAGTTGGAAACTGCACTTTTAGTAAATCCCGATATAATCAGTGGATTAATGTATAATTTGTATATTTATGAAATAAAAGCAATGTTAACACGTAATATCAATAAACTTTACCATATTTATTCAGCTAGTAGTAAAAGTATTGCGCGTTTGTTTTAACTGCTAATATTGACCTTGTGCGCTCACTTTGAATGCTATCGTCACATGGACGCCTTTGATGCTTATGGACCTAATTCGCAGGCTCTCACGTTTTTCGACCCAGAGGAGAACGACCTCATTGGTGGAAATACGCAATGTCCCGACTTTGACTGTGGTCAATTCACACTTCCTTCACAATCCCAAATCCAGGCTTCTCAGTTGGAAAGAGATCCTATTGATCATTCCCTGAAGGTAAGTCCTATTTGCACCTACTTTCTAGGCTGATTCTATCGCAAATGGAGTTTCAAAATTGACTCAGGGTATTTCAGAACTTCATTTTGGGGAAGATAGCGTGGTCCAATTCACCGGGGACCTTCCGGAACATGCATGTGCTTACTGTGGAATATATGACCCTGCGTGTGTTGTCTTCTGCAATACCACCAAGAAATGGTTCTGCAATGGGCGAGGCAATA